TCAGCTGAGAAGGAAAGAAAGAAAGTAGTGAAACTACATAAAATAGTAGGATATGAACTGGGAGCGATGGTAAAATGGCAAACCTTACAATAACCTAGAGAGAATAGGAAGTTGTGGAGAACCATGGTCATTCATATCTTATAGAGACATGGCACATAGAAGAAGTAAATAAAATCACATTAGTAGATGTGCTAAGAGACTTGTGAATACTATTAAATATCATTGAAGGCCTCACAGCAGTAATATTGAAATTGAATATTGCTAATATATAATCAAAACAGGTAATTTTTTTTTAATCAGTTCACCCCAAGCAAGGCAATGATGCCACTAAGATGCAGGGATTTATTTTGAATGAATGACAATTATAAAGACTTTAAAAGGGACCAGAAACCCAAGAGAAAATAATAATATAAACAAGATGTTAACCTTCCACACAACAAAAAATAAAGAGTTTTGGAAGAAAAATGTTTTGAAAGAACTATAAGATTTAAATGACTTTCTAATTTATAAACTACATGTGTGTCCTGGGTAATATGATAAACTACATCCAACAGCAAGGCCTCTGATCAAGAGGTTTTGAGGGGTGTGGAATCACCTCTGAATTTCTTCTCTTTCCAGTTCCTCTGACCTGGGTGGTAGCATCTGTCAGGGTCCCAGCTATGGGTAAATAGTTACCCCCTACCAAAACACTATGAAAGTATAAAAATAGGTTTTAATACCAGCAATACTTTTTTGGAAAAATTATTACCACTAGTACATTTTTGAAAAAATATTACCAGCAATACATTTTGGTAAAAAAAATAAATAAATAAATAATGAAGCAATAAAAATCTTGTTGGCATTAAATAACTCTTTGAGGTTAATATGCCATAAAACAAATGAAACTAAGCAATATGTGTATTTGTATGAAAGAAAAGTGCAAAGAAAGAACTATAAAATTTAAATGAATTTCTAATTTCCTGAAAAACACTGGTCAATGAATGCTGATCATAAAAAGAAAAAAAAATTGATCATAAAAGAAGTAATGCTTCCATAGAGAAAACATTCAGCATTCATTGAGAGTCATTCTGGAGAGCCATGATTGTCTATATCTTGAAGGGATGTAGACAATCATGGCTCTCCAGCTACTCTTGTCACTTGTAGCAGTTTTGTCTTTTGTTAATTCCTCCAGACCATGTTCCACTATTCACCTGCTTAAGCCTGTTCAGTATGTCATGCATTGCTTTCCTTATCCCTCGATCCACCCTGTGAGTATCAGATTTTCCAAGTCCTCCTCTCTCATTACATGTCCCAGAAATTTCAGCTGCCTTTTCCTGATGTTAAGTATATGTTACCTCTTTGTTTGCATCCTTTCCAACAAAACCTCATCATTGCTCACACACGCTGTCCATGACATCCTTAACATCCTTCTGTAGAATCACACCTCTGGTATATTTCAAGGACACAGTGGATAAAGGCATTAGTCAGATCCAGTGACAGGACCCAAAGAGTGTGAGTTCAATACTCGGTTAAGGCAGTGGAGAACTTGGAGAGGGGAATTAACAGGAGATAACTGACAACTGACAACCATTAAACATGGCACATGGAACTAGAACAGTCTACCCTAGTGAGCGAAATAAAGGGTTCAGTTTGACATTTCCACCACCTGAAGAATGCCAGAGTGTACAATGGCTGAAACGTTGTAATGAATATGGTGACAAAGATGAGGACAATAGTCCAAATAATGTAAATAGTAAACCACACCTCTGTTGCCTTGGGTCTCTCCTTCATCCTTGAGGAGACTGTCCAACATTTGCTGTCATAAAGGAGGACAAATATCATGCAGCAGTACTCTTTGCTTTGTTGCTAATGAAACCCTCCTGTCTTGTAATATTCTAACTTTTGGAATGCATCTTTAGCCATCCCAATATGTCTTTGGATCTCGGCGTTGCACTTTGTCCTCTGTCAGAACACTTCCCAGATATTTAAATTTCTGCACCTGCTTACATAGTGTTTCCTACCTGTAAATTGCATTTCAGGCTCATGTTTTTGCTGTTGACCATGCATTCTGTCTTGTAGTTTATGCTTAGTCCCTTCTTCATCTCCTTCACTACCATCTGTAAGAGATTTTGTAGTTTCCTTTCTGTGTCTGCTATCAGCATTGTGTCATCTGCATATCTTATGTTAAGATTGTGGCCACCAATGATGAATCTTAGCAGGACCTTCAGTTCTCTCAGAATTGCCTCACTTTATAGGTTGAACAAATCTGGTGAGAAGACACATCCTTGCCTTATGTCCCTTTCTATTTTTGTATATCTGCTGAACTCATTTTTTTATCTTTATGCAGGCAGTTTGCTACCAGAAGTTTTTGATTATTTTAATGTTTTTCTTGAATATGTCAAGATTGCTGAGCAGCTCTAACAAATCCTTGTGGCGTGCTTTATCGAACACCTTTGCATAGTCTACAAAACACAGGTACACATTCTTCTGCATTTGTATTGCTCTTTCAGATAACATTCTGAGTATGAATATTGCATTCCTTGTTCTGGTGTCTGATGAACCTGCACTGTTCTCATCCTATCTCTAGCCTGATTCTGCTGTGTGCTCTATTCATCAGAATTTGGATGATGAGTTTTGTTATGTGGCTCATTAGGCTGATTGTATGGTGAGTTCACATTTGCTTGCACCTGGTTTCTTAGGCAGTGCTATAAAAATAGATCTGCTGATATCTACCAGTATATCTGCACTGTTATAGATTTAATTTATTTCTGTAATTTTGTCTATACCAATATCATCTAAGACTGTCAGCATCTGTTACAATTCAGTCTGGCCCTGCCACCTTGTTTCTGTTTAATTTGGCTGGTGTAACTTCAACTTCAGTTTTTAGAATTTCGGTAACTCTGTGTATAGCTGGTTGTTCTCTTTCATTGTGGAAGAATTTTCCAATATATTTGTTCCAGCACAGAAGATTTTTTTCCTTCTATAATATAAGTGTTCCATCCTTGGATTTTATGCATTCTATTGGTGAGCATGTCTTCTGTCCTGTTAGTTCCCTTATTTATACATATCTCCTTTGTTTGTGGTACTCAATCTCTCTATTTCTGCACATTTTTTGTTTAGCCACTCTTCTTTAGCCTGCCTGCATTTGGTCCTTATTTTATTGTGTAGTTTTCTGTATTCCATTCCGTATTTTGGCAAAGTTTTCTGTCTCCTCTGCATTATATCAAGAATCTCATGTGATCCATTCATTTTTTTTTTCTTTGTTCATTTTCTTTTGGGATGATATCATTTGCTGATGTTACTAAAAATTCTTAGTGCATCCCATTTCAAGTTTCCATTGCCATTTTGTCTCTTATCTTTTCACACTGTCGATATATTTTTCCTTTAGGTCCAGGTCACTCAGGAGTTGTATTGCAGTTTGGGTGCTGTGTTAGGCTTCTTCAGAAGACTGGCCATTCAGGATAACTTTCATTTTACAATTTGATAAGAAAGGCTGGATGAGTTTGAAAATTTGGCCAGACTTACCCTAACTTTTCAATTTGTGAAGAAGACTTGCATGACAATCCTGTTGAACACTTTTGAGACTTCCAAAGCAATAGCCCAAAATTCACCATTCTTATCTAAAGCTTGATAGACTCTTTTTGCAATTCTTGTAAGAACATCAGCAGTTGAACTACAGAAATGAAAGCCATATTGCTTGTCTGAAAGAAGACCTTGCTATATGAAATGCTTAACCAATTCATCATTGATTAGGGCCTCTAGTAATTTCCCAATATATATATATAATGAACTCTCCTATAGTCTTCATGTATGAGGCTTTGACAATGAATTATTTATTTATATATATATATATATATATATATATATATATATATATATATGTATGTTGACTGATATGACCTGGAAGAAGGCCATATCTTTAATTTTGGATTGAGTGGTAGTGAGCATTTGGCTGAAAAAGTTTGCTTTACTTCTGCAGGCTTTCCTGCATATATGGCAGAAAAAAGATATATGTATGGTCTTGGAGTTTATCCAGTCCTTATGCATTCTCATGTGACTATCCAGACCTGTTGCTGACCCACATACTTTGTCACAAAACTGATAAGACTTTGTGGATGTCTGTCAGTGTAGTCTGCATGGGATTGTTTATTCTCCTGAAATCTTAGATGACGAACAAGTCAGGATCTGGATAAGAAGACCCTACAACATATGTTGCATGTATGCTCAGGCCAAAGATTCTCGGATTGAAGTCGTGTCCGACCTTCTAAGAGCTTGTTTCATGATTGCATGATCAACACTCTTTTTCTCAAATACTTTACAGTCATCATTTACCATTTTTTTCTACACATCTCTCTCTCTCTCTCTCTCTATATATATATATATATATATATATATATATATATATATATCCTGTTGCAGACAACTGTTCAAACACCTTTGCATTTGTTTAAACCCCCACAGAGCCAACCTGTGGTTGACACTGTAACAATACTAAGTGAGCCATTGTTAGAGTTTCTGTAATGTGTTCATTGCAATGAATGAGGATGAAGATAACACAAGGAGTAGAATGTCACTTGTGTAATGATATTGCCTACTCCTTCGTTCTGGGTCCCCGGAACGTCAATCTGTTTTTTATATATACAAACACGCATGCGCTTTGATCAATAAATATACGCCATGACAGTCCCTTACTCATAACTACACACGTGTTAGAGTTATTATTTTTATCAATACACATCCATGCACTACACGGCATGACATGGTGGCAGCGAGACTGGATAATACACTAAACAACCCTACGAAATCACAGCACCAAAATAAAACAGTGAGTACAAACTGCAGTACATTATTTTCTTTAATCGTCTACGCTACACAAATTCTCGCTTGCTCACGCCACGCCGGGCTCACAACATAACCGCTACTAACAGGCAGATATCATGGCTATAGTGTCAATACAAGTGCCTAGTCTTGACTGGGGGTCGCCAAACATCGCCGAATTGTTCAAACTATTTCGACAACACATGGAGCTTTACTTCACCGTCAAGGCAACAAAACACGAAGATAAGGTGCTGCTAATTCTCCTCGCAGCCGGCGAAGAAGGCCTACGCCGATACAACAGTTGGTCGATGACAGACGACAACCGCAAGGACCCACAAAAAATATTCTCTGCCTTCATGGAGCAGCTCGAACCGGCAACCAACCACCGCGTCTGTAGACTTGAACTCAGCAAATACCAACAAAAGCCAACTGAAACAACGGACATCTTCGTTAACAGATGCCGACTGCTAGCAAAGAAATGCGACTTCACCGCCGCCGAAGTAAATGAACGACTCGTTGAGTTACTAATTGCCAGCACGCCCATACCCGAACTACAAAAGGAACTATTGAACAAACCAAAGGGTTACAAAATCGAAGAGGCTGTTAAATTAGCCCGTTCTCATGAAGCATCAGCAATATATGTCAACCAACTCCAGCAGCTACAGGGACCACCACAGATAGCCACAATAAACCGTGGTACACACCAACAGCAAGGGAGTGACAGAAAATACAGACAGGTTTGCAAAAATTGTGGACGCAACCACTGTTTTGGCAAAGAACACTGCCGTGCCAAGAACGACACATGCAACACATGTGGCAAAGTAGGCCACTGGGCTACAGTCTGCAGCTCAGGGAAACATAAGACCAAGAGACGACAAGGGAAAACCTGGTCTAATGGTTGTAACCAGTTGAGACACCCACAACAGGAGTTTGGCAGGAAAGTCGACAGCGTCGCCAAACAAAACGACCAAGTCATGACCGACATAGACACAGCGATGGAAAACCACACCTTTAGCTCCATCGAAACCAACAGTGGGAAATCATCAAATATGAAAGGCCCTCGAAATGAGGCATTTGTTGATTTAAGCATCAAGTTGGTGGACCACCCAGGCACTCATACTTTCAACCTGAAGGTAGATACAGGGGCACAAGCAAACACACTGCCTATCCGCATATTCCGCAAGATGTACCCCACCAGTACAGACAAAGCTGGAAATCCAATACCCGGATCACTCACCTCAACACAATGCCTACTAACAGCTTACAACAACACAAAGATAAACTGTTATGGCACCACAAATATTAGGTGCAAATACAAGAACTCTCCATGGATGGATACCCAATTCTACGTGGTTGATGTTCCAGGAGCAGCCATATTGGGCCTGCCAACATCAGTATCACTTAAAGTAGTGACAATGAACTGTGCTATATCAGTCCAGCAACAACCCATCAACAGTGTAGCTGACCTAATGCGCCTCTACCCTGACAGATTCGACCGTATTGGTGAATTTCGGAGGACTCACAAGCTTGCTGTTAACCCCAATGTGCCATGCCACATAGACCCACCGAGAAGGACACCTATAGCCATGCGCGAAAAAATCAAAGCTGAGCTTGACAAGATGGAATCACAAGGAGTCATTCGCCGTATTGAAGAACCTACAAACTGGGTAAGCTCTCTTACATATGTCACCAAACGTGACAACACAATAAGAGTTTGCCTAAACCCACGAGCATTAAACAAAGCTCTCATACGGCCATACCACCAAATTCCAACTGTCGAAGAGCTCAACCATCGATTTGCAGGAGCAAAATTCTTCTCAAAACTGGATGCTAAGTCTGGGTACTGGTCCATAAAGCTCGATCGTGAAAGCCAGCCACTAACAACTTTCCAAACGCCATTTGGGAGGTACTGTTTTGAACGACTTCCATTTGGTCTGAGTGTCAGTCAGGATATTTACCAACTTGAGATGGACAGGATACTCGAGAAGTGCACTGGAGCCTGTGGTATAGCTGACGATATCACCATATATGGGTCAACAGAACATGAACACGACAAAAACTTAAAGCGCTTTATGGAGGTCGCTACTCAAGAGGGCCTTACCCTCAACTCAGAGAAATGCAAGATTAAACGCCGGGAAATCTCCTTCTTTGGAAACCTGTATACACATACCGGATTGAAACCTGACCCAACAAAAGTACGTGACCTACAGGAGATGTCAGAACCATGTAACAAAACAGAATTACAACAGTTTTTAGGTGTGATGACATACCTATCTCGCTTCATCAAGGACTTCAGCTCCAAAACTACTGTGTTGCGTGACCTGTTACACAAGGACTCTGATTTTCAATGGGAACCACATCACCAGAAAGTTTTCAAAGATCTAAAGAGCGAAGTATCTGAAACGTCTCTGCTCCACTATTTTGACCCCAAACTCCCAATTTACATGCACTGTGATGCGAGTATATGGGGAATAGGTGCAGCTCTGCTACAACCAGATGCAGATGGCAATCTATCGCCTGTTACATATGCTAGCAAGAGCTTAACACAAACGGAACAAAGATACGCATGTATCGAGCATGAGCTACTGGCCATCGTATTTGGCACACAGAGATTCCACACATACCTTTATGGCCACAATTTCCATGTCATCACCGACCATAAACTCCTTACAATGATTATCGACAAACCGCTCACCTCAGCCCCAGCACACCTGCAACGGATGCTTATACAACTCCAGGGATACAACTTCAGGCTCACCTACAACAAGGGATCTGACAACATCTTGGCTGACGGACTATCACGCCTACCATCACCCGGTAATTCAGACCCTATCGAGCTTGATGTCCGGGTTGATACTGTCCGTTTCTCTAGTGATCGTATTGAACAACTGAGAAACTGCACAACACCGGATCCTTTGCTTAACCAGCTGAGAGAGACCATCATCACTGGATGGCCAGAGACAATCAAGCAGCTGCCCACTGACATCAGAGTGTTCTGGGGTCTAAGAGACCAGCTCTCAATTGATGATGGTCTTATCCTCAAAGGACAACAAATCGTCATTCCCCAGACACTTCAAGAAGACATCCTAAAACAGCTTCATACTGCTCACTTAGGACAGGGGAAAACAAAACTCCTCGCCAATGACACTGTCTACTGGGTAAACATAGAGACATCGAACAGTTCACAAAGTCATGCAGCATTTGCTAACAGCATCAGCCATCCCAAATGCAAGAGCCCCTTATTCAACACGACATCCCAACAAAGACATGGGACATAGTTGGCGCGGACCTGTTTGATCTCCATGGAAGTCAATGGTTGATCATAGCCGACTATTACTCCAAGTACCCTGTAGTCAAACACCTACCTGCTCACTCACCAAGCAGTGTTATAGTAAACACCACACGCCAAGTCTTTGCAGAGTTTGGCATACCATCAAAGGTAGTCAGTGACAATGGACCACACTTCTCAAGTCACCTCTACCGTGAATTCGCCAAAGAATGAGGTTTCCACCATGAGACCACTTCGCCTCGGAGACCACAGGGAAATGGTTTCATAGAACGGCAGATAAGAACTGTCAAGAACATCCTCAAAAAAGCCAAGCAGTCGGGAACAACGCCTGAAATTGTGCTGCTGCACTGGCGCTGTACTCCAATTTCAAGCGTCATACCAAGTCCTGCACAACTACTCATGGGTAGACGAATCCAATCTCCACTGATTACCAAAATCAGAAACGATCACCGAGATCAGGATCAAATATATAGTGCAATTCAACAACGTCAAGAAAACCAAAAGAGGTACTTCGACCGACATGCACTCAAGGAGGAACTACCACCCCTGTACTATGGCCAAAGGGTAAGGGTACAAAACCCTATGTCTGGAAGCTGGGACCCAGCGACTGTAGTATCCCAGGCAGATGGTCACCGCTCCTATCTCCTGGAGAATGTCAATGGGTATGTGCTGCGAAGAAACCAGCAACACATAAGAAGCATCCCAGTGGCGCCTGACTCACAACTGTCGCAAGATGTCTCGAAAACAGCCTCACAGAAATGTGACTTTTGTGGATCCACCTGTGTGTGTGATCCCAACCATGCCAAATAACCCTCAAAAGCGTACCCGTAGTGGTAGGATGGTGCGACCACCATCAAAGATGAACTTATGATGAACACATTCTCATAACCCCACAGCAAGCACTTAATGGGGCAGAATAATCCCCTGCTATGCTGTAGCTGTCCAGGTAGTCTACCCTGAACGAGCCTTTCTGTTTATTTATGTTTGTTTTATTTCAGAGACCCAGTATTACTATCCTTGTTTCGGAGAAAGGGGGATGTAATGATATTGCCTACTCCTTCGTTCCGGGTCCCCGGAACGTCAATCTGTTTTTTATATATACAAACACGCATACGCTTTGATCAATAAATATACGCCATGACAGTTCCTTATTCATAACTACACACGTGTTCGAGTTATTATTTTTATCAATACACATCCATGCACTACACAGCATGACAACTTGGAGTCAATGTAATCTTCTGAAATCACTAGTAATCAGATAAGCTATATCTTTAACTCTACTTTTCTTCTCCTCCTGATGATTCTCAACATCAGTCGACATGGATTTGGTCAAATTTAAGTCCTTTTCTGGAGAGTTGTGTTCATCTCCGCAACACTTTCTTTATTCTAACACTTCTTTTCATTAATCCAACACAACTTCATTGTATTCTATGTTAGCTGACTATTATGTGAAGGATACAATCTCTAACCCAGCCGTCAGGTCAAACCAATGTAGTTTTACATTCAGTATTTAAATTACTGTTGAGAAACTGGCTTTCACATATTTTTCACCCAAATTACATATTTCTCTTAGTGATTTTTTTTTTTTTTTTTTTTTTTTTTAAAAGGCAATAATTTGGTTGCTTTCATGTCTTTAGCTATTGTTCTTAATATTCTGCATCATTCCCCTATGTTTATATTCATAAAACTAGCTTCACATATTTTCTTGCTGGTCAGTCCACTTCCTTTCTTATTGCACTTTTCACTTTTCTCAAATATCTTTTTGTGACATTCTGAAATGTAGTTTTCTTATTCTTCCCTTGCCAATGACTTCAATTTATTTTCTTTTTATTCTTCCTAAATTTCTGTTCCATTTTTTTTTTTTTTCACAATTTCCAATGTTGTATTCCCATCACTCAATAACATTGCAATATTTTCTTTCTCTTTTGAGCTATCTTTCTTATGGCATATAACAATCTTTATAAATCTGAAATAAAAATATTAATAATTATATATGTGTGTGTATTTAGGCAGCAAATTCTTTTTTAGGCATGTCTGATTGAATAAATTACAAACATTATGTCTGCTTATTTTTATCATAATCCTTCATATTCACGAATATTTCTTGACTCATTCAACTGTAATATACAGGAAAATAGCAAAAGCAAGAAAAAGATAAAAAAGTTTTGGGGTGAGCATGTGGTGAATGTGACATTTAACATAGAAGTTTCAATATCATGTGTTCTTAAATCAATGGAATTCGAGTGGTACTTATCTGGGCTTCAAATTCTATATATCAATATTTTCACAGAGAATTACACCAGATAGCTCCCTGTATTCACATGAAATGAATTGATCGACAAGTTTGAAGAAATAGAATGTTCAAATGTATGAGTTGTTCAAATATTCTTCCTGCTGGATTTCTAGTATTGTTAAGCAAAAGTATCCAGTCATCGAATTCAAGATCTTTTTATAACAGAATATATCTATAATTCATGGATATAGTTCTCTGGAACTCCTCGCTGGTACAAAACTGGTTAATTCCATTGTTTCATTCAGTTACTGCCATTTCTGTTCCTCTGGACAGACAAGTGCAGGAGCTTCACATCTGATTCGTTTGGATGCCTAATTCCAACTGTCGGATCTTTGATTTTGGCACCTCTGTGTCTACTCATGGTCAAATGACCTGCTATGGGGTCGACATGCATGATATCAGAAGCAATTACCAACCCGCTGTTGTCCTGCAAGTGGCACAGAGAAATAAAGTGATCCACTATCATCATTCACCCACACAAATATAAGTAGTTAGAATGAAGGGAAAGAAAGAGAAGAGTTAAAAAAAAAAAAAAAAGCAAAACTAATGTTCTTAACTATGAGACAATAGATGGATTAGATCTTCTTTCTCTCCTTTAATACATAAATTGTAGTAGCATGTCACACATACACACACACACACACACACACACACATATATAGGAGGCACGGTGGAGTTATGGATATCGGCTTGGATTGAGGAATCGGAGAGCCGAGTTCGAATTCCAGTCGAATCCATTACATTTACTTATGTACTAATACCCTTGGGAAAGGTATGAATCCTCTACATCTCCCTCCAACTATGGGTAAATAGCAGGACAGACTGGGTTCTATAGCCTTGGATGGCAACTGGTCTAGGAGAAGGACAACTCTGAATTCAAAACCTGCGGAGGGTCGTTTGGGGACCTTGTGGCACCAGGTCTCTGTATTCGGCCCTTCAAAAAGTGTGAATGGTCCTGCACGAAACCTTCACCACTATAATCAATTCTTAAGTGCTGTTGTCGGGCTGTCGGTTTCCTGGGAACTGATCTGCTTGGCCCTTAACGTCGAATTCGACAGGAGAGGATATATATATATATATATATATATATATATATATAATTAATGGACGGCTAATTATATCCAAATATGGGTACATACTAGAATGGCTAGCCAGTTCAGGACCCACTTGTTTGTAGTGCAACTATGCTGAGCAGACCTTAGTTACAATTTCTGGGAGAGAGTGCATTATCTGGCATGATCGAAAGTCTGAACAAGGCGAGTACATTTAGAGCTTTGGTCATGATGACTTGTGACTTCATGCTAGAAGAACCTTTGTTGACAGCTCACAAATAGTTTATTTACCCAGCTTCACTCTCAAGGCTTGGGTCAACTCATGAGGTCTGGTTTTCAGACACCTTCCAAAAGTGATGTGTATGTTGGGATCACCTCCCCCAGGCAGATAACATCAAGAAATTACCTTCTTGATATATCAAACATGCTGAGATTTGAAACAGTTTCATGGTCGGAAAGCTAATATTCTAACCCTTCGGCCACAAATAATGTGTTCAAGTGAGCAGATTTTTTCAGTAAATTTCTCAATATAAAGAAATAAAGTAATAATGGTAAATAAATGCTTAAAACCTTGAAAGATAACCTTCTGACTCCCAGAGATACATCCACATTGAATTATCTTGCCCCTGAAGTGCACATTTACCTCTGCAAAACTCTGAGTTGCAGATGTTTTAAACTTTTTTTTCTTAGAGTTAATGTGTAGAAAAAGATTATGTATAAATGTAAAAGACAATAGGACAACTGTATTAACTGACGTATTTCGTCCAATATGAACTTTTTCAAGGCAAAAATGAAATGAATTTATTGAAAACAAAGTAACTATTAACAACAAACAAAATGTTAATAGTTACTTTTTTCAATAAATTCATTTTTTTTACCTTGAAAAAGTCCCCATTGGATGAAATGTGTCAGCTAATAAGTTTTCCTATTGTCTTTTGTCTTGTGTGTGTATGTATGTGTGTGTGTGTGTGTGTGTGTAAAATATATATATACACATACACACTGAAGGCAACACGCAGTCAACAAGTATTTATTTCATGCTGTCACCTCTGAGTGTTGACTTCAATGATCACTTTTATATTTACATATGCTTTATCTCTGATATTGGGCACTTTATCCCATAAATATAGCACACCTTAAAACTATATTTCTTATATATATATATTGAGTAATATATATATATATATATATATATATATATATATATATATATATATATATATACACACACACATACAAGAGGATAAAATCTGAGTAGAGCTCTATGCACAAGACAGAGCTACATATATATATATATATATATATATATATATATATATATATATTTAAAAAGGTTGCCTACAAAAACATCACCTCATGTCATCACACTCTTTCTTCCTACCATATGCCCTCCCTGCATCACACCCTTTCTTTCTCATAGTAGCACTAATTAGTCTGTAATTGTGACAGTAAGTAACACATAAGGTGAACTAACAGAGCACGACACAAAGGTTTGAAAATTTTGAGTAGCTCCAAATGGATGACAGCAGCCAATCAAAAGAGCAACCACATGGGGGGGAAAATAGTCAGTTGCAGAGATGGATTGAATCTGTGCAGATGTCGTCATGGTCTACACAGGAAAATATCTGGCAGAATGAGAAA